GCCAAGCCAAGCCGAGCCAAGCCAGAGGCAGAGAAGAAAAAAAAGGTGCCAGCCAAGCCGACCGAAGCCACGCCGAGCCAGGCCAAGCCAAGCCGAGCCGAGCCAAGCCAGACGAAGAAAAAAGCCGAACCAAGCCAGACACAGAGAAATAAAAAGAGGCCCCAAGCCCCCCCAAGCCAGACAGCCAAGCCGAGCCGAGCCAAGCCAGACGCAGAAAAAAGCCGTGCCAAGCCAGACACAGAGAAAAAAGGTCAAGCCACGCCGAGCCAAGCCAAGCCGAGCCAAGCCAAAAAAGTCGAGCCAAGCCAGACGCAGAGGAACAAAACAAGGGCCCGTTAGGTTCCTTGAAAGTGTCCTTAAAGGGCCCTTCAAGGTATACTTAAGGGTTCTATGAGGAGGATCATGGGACTTTGTAGTAAGGCTAGAGGTACCTTAATTGGTGTGAAAACAAAAAGCATTTATAAGCATAGTTGCCTTGCTTATAACCCTAGTTGCTACGGCCGGCGATCCTTGAAGTACCTGCAGCTGAGTTCACCGACGAAGAGACAAGGTTTTCCTTTCAGAACTTCAAGCGAAGTAGGATCATATAAACCCAAAAGCCTGAAGGTTACCTATCCGGCTGCTCAGGAGCCCGTAGCCAACGAATTTATTAAGTTCGGGGTTTTGGGTCCCGGGTGCCTTGAATAGAGGACGCTTTCCATGAGAGAGCAGCCAAGCACCTCAAAAATTTCATGTACGGAATACCATGAAATATTCAGAAACTGTATATTAAACCCGAAACCGGCCCAAACCCTAAACCTAAAGCTGCGAGGTTCAAACAGCTTTGAAACATTGTCAATTCCTCCTAATATAGAAGCCTAAATAATTACCAATAATATTGTACTATAAAGCAACCAAAACCCTATTCTAATTATTAAGGCCCCGACATTACTCTCCGGTTTGGTCTGCAAGGCGCAGGATTTATGGTTTAGGGTTCAGGGTTGGGGTTTAGGGTGTAGGGTTTAGGGTTTAGGGTTTAGGGTTTAGGGTTTTGGGTTCAGGATTTAGGGCTTTAGGGCTTTAGGGTTTTTAGGGTTTAGGGTTTAGGGTTCAGGGGCTTGGGCCTCCGGGTCCCTGAACCTTAAAGTTTAGGTTTGAGGTTGCAAGGTTCGGGTTCCGGGTTTAGGGAAGCCGAAGCCCTGGACCCTGAAGTCTTTGTTTAGGGCTTTCGGTTGAGGTTTTCACATTTTGAACCAAATGACCTATTATGACAAACGCTAAGTGCTGAGAGGCAGCATCACAGCTTCAATAAAACAAAAAACATGCCGACACTTGGCTGAAATCAGAAACCCTGGAAGCCCAAAGGAACGCTGAACACCCTTATCGTGCCTGCCCTTCCCGTCCTTTCGCAAGGAAGAGCCCCACCTAAGCAGGATTGAGGGGTTTGGAGCTTTGGAGATCAGGGTCTGGGGGTTTGGGCTTCGGAGTCATTATTCTCGTAAGCCCCTGGTAAAGCAAGTAAGACGGTGTATTCAGGTATTTTCCTGCAGTGATCTCCGAGTGGACAATCCCCAAGCTGGAATGCTTTATGAACTAGGATGAAACTGAAACCCTAAACCCTGAACCCCAACCCCAAACCCGAAACACGAACCTCTAAATCCTAAACACCCGTTAGAACCTCTGTAGGATAATCGAAAACCCTTGCATGAACCGTTATAGGAAGTCGTGCAGGGACACGTACAGGAAGCCTGAAACAAATCCCAAAAGTAACCGGGAACCCCAAATAGTATAGGGGCCTTAATGACGAGAGAAAGGTTTCGGTGGAAATTACAGCATAGGTACAACAAGGAACACGAAGCAATAAGACGGGTATTCAGTGAGGCCCCGATATGGGTACTTTTGAAAATTAGGGTCTGTTTTCAAGTCCCCAAAATAATACGACAACCTTCCTAAAACGGATCCTAATGTAGAGAACGACCCATATTACGTGAGCATGCAAACCCGTGCGGCCGGAGGCAGCACTGAGCCCCCGACAGGAAAAGGTCCTCGGTTGCTGCTCTGGCCGCCGGGTTTAAGTGCAGGGTTTAGGGATTAGGGTTTAGGGTTTGGCATTAAGTTTTTAGAGCTTACGCTTTTGAGGTTTAGCCTTTAGGATTTAAGTTTCTAGGGCTTGTAATTTTAAGTCTTAGGGTTTTCGATGCTTGAAACACTCCTTAGGGTCTGCTGGGGCGGCGGGGCAATTCAAACGCTCAGGTGTCCAAAACCTGAAGCACCAAATCCTGCAACTTCAGGCCTCAGTCCACTAAATCATGAGTTATTAATAATTTCCGAAACCCAGAACCCTTCCACGAAACCTCCCAAATGTGACCCCTCGCAGATCATGCCCGCGCACATTGTGTATGCAGCTTTGATGTATGGCATGCTGTTGCACGTACAGTACATCCTTGCACAACTTACACTGTTCACTCTTCCCACACAAACTTCACGGTACCATTAAAAACCCCGCAATTACGAAAATGTCTGTGTGGGCACAAAACGAAAAAGGGCCCTAAACCCTCAACCCAAAGCCCTGAACCCTAAACCCTCAACGAGCCTCCATTGTTGCCACGGAGTCCCATACCCCTTGATTAACACAAAAACCATACATCCAGAATATTAAGGCCCCAAAAAATTTTAAGGAATATTCCGTAATTGAAGGGTATTGGGCTTTCTGGGTAGCTGCCAAGGAGCCCCATGATCGCTCCTCGCCACGCCGAAGCTGGGCCCGAAGCTCAGCTGCCGCCAGGCGCAGTGGTTCCTGGGTAAGTTTGCAGTTTAGGATGTCGGGGTTTGAAGTTTAGGGCTGATGGTTCCGCATTAAGATTTCAGGGGGGTGTAGGGCTTCGGATTGTAATGTCGGGGATTTTTAGGTGCATATCATGTGGAGTTTGAAACTTGGCAAACAAAATTCAAACTCGGGCTGGGGGCCTGGGCCACAAGTTTTGGATTCGGGCGTCGGGACATTTGGAATTCATGTGTACTGCTACTCCTTTTTTCTGGCGGGACAGGGGTTGATTTTCAGGGCATGTTGGGGGAGGACGAGGAGGAGGAAAGCATTCAAAACCCCAAAAACCGAAAGTTCTGAACCCTGAGTCCCTAAGCCGAAGCACTTAAAACTGTAGCACCCCTGCACCCAAGCCCTAAACCGCAACGTCCGAGAGGGTGAATCCGACGAAGGCTCTGGAAGCTCTACGAGAGGACCGGCTATCCTCATGCATCCATGCTCCTTGTTAGAGAGCCAAGATCTCTGAATTCAGGAAAAGTTTAAAACATAATATTGAGACCCCTATGAACTTTTAAATGCATTCCTTCATGAGGGAAGGTTGGGCTCTCCGTGCTTCGCTTTTGCTTCAGTACAGCGTGCACGACTGCAGGCCCTTTGAAAGAAGCGGCAACCCTAAACCCTAAACCCTGAACCCTGAACCTTAAACCCTAAACCCGCACAAAAGGTAGTGAAGCACGAGGGCATTTTGAGCCGATGCTCTCTCGATTCGAAAGTTTAGTTTCCTCTCTACCTTTTGGCAAGGCTCCACCGCCCCAAATCCCGCGGCCATCTGCATCTTTAAGGTTTAGGATTTAGGGTTTAGGGTTTAGGGTCCCGTGGCCATAAAAATCAGCTCGTCTGCTGGTGAGAAGCGCATCAGCGGGGTGTTAGGTTTCAGGGCTTTTCCCGATATTTAGAATTGAGGATATGTCCGGTCACTTAGGATAACGATAGGATAACCTAAGGATGTTCCAGGCTTTTGTTTTGAAGGCTCTTTTCCGTCCTACGGAAGCCTACTAGGCGAGCTAACTCGGCTCCCACGTGTGCCTCCGCTTGTAGGAAGCAAAAACACGATAGAGGTCGACCCCGGCCATCGCAGACCGGCCATGCACGCGGCGGAAGACTCTCGACACCGCACATCAAACTATGAACAGATTTTTGTAGCAACATGCATCAAACTCGCCGGACGCAAGGTCTCTATCGCTTACTTGCTCTAGAGACATGCACGGGGCCCGGCACCAGGCAACGGGAAGGCATTGAGAACCCAGTTAGCACTTTTAGTTTCGAGTACCATCGGGAAGTTGGTAAACCATTGAGTGGACACACGGTCTCTACGAATCACCTGTAAGACTCATCAGACACTCACTCCAGGTTCCGCTGCATCTCACTTGTCGATGCCACACCCTCCAAATGTCCCTCCACCAAACCCGGGGGCTTGTTGCCGGTCAGCACATCCGTGAAAAGCTTTCCAGGCGGGCTCTCACCCAGCTTGTGCAACGGGTTCTCCGAGATGTTCACTAAGTCATCCTGCATCATCAGCACAATGTCGTTTGCCGGGACAGCATGATCAGGCAACCACGAAAACCATCCGCGATGCAGCGGTAATTCAGAAGCCCTGGCGAGCCAGCTGCAACTTCAAGCTCACGTTCGCTTCGGCCTTGACATGCAGCAGAATGCAGCAGCGCAACGTAGAGCACAACCAGGACCAGAAGTCCTCAACTTTGCCGCCGCTATCGTGGTGCTGCTCCTCCGCTTCAATTTCCGGCGTTATCCACGGAGGCATGGAAATGAAGTCGGCCGCATCCAGGGCAGCGAGCAAAGGCAGGTCTTCCTCGCGCGCCCTGGACAGCTGCAAGGTGCCGGCTCGTCTTTCGACGAAGCCGCCCCTGCAACGTCGCGGTAAGTCGCTGCTCACCCTGCAGACGCTTGCGCCGCCACGGTGCACATGGCGCACCTCCACGGCCTTCATCATCCTTTGACCGATGCAATGCGCTTCTAGTCGCGACGCACGCTAGCTGCTCGTCGATGGGCCGAGGTGCCCGCAGGTCAGAGGAGCAAGCGAATAGAGAGGGTTGTGCTTGTAGCGCTGGAGACTTCAAACGCTTGAGCCAATTCCAGGTTTAGGGATTAGGGCGTTTGTAGTTCAAGGCTTCATGCTTTCAGGGTGGGGACGAGGAGTCTTTCAAAACCGAACCCGTTTGAATTGAAATGTGGGGCAGAGATGATAACAGTTCACTTTCAATAATAGCCGTTACAAGAAGGAGCCCGGCAATTGCAACTTGTCGAAGGCGTTGCATTCCCATCTAGACCGCCAACTGTGCAAAATGGCCTGGCTCTTCTTCAATGACCCACACCCTCGTTTTATGAACGTCTGCCCATGCGCGTCCGTACATAGGAACCTGAACCTTCAAAAACAGATCCTAAACCCTAAATCCTAAACTCTAAATCCTAAACCCTAATTCCTAAATCCTAAACCGTAAATCCTGAACCCTAAACCCTAAACCCTAAATCCTAAACCTCAAATCCTAAACCCCAAACCCTAAACCCCCTACCGACCCTAAACCCTCAACCATGCCCAGCCCCTGAGCAAAGCCACCTTCCACACTTGGAGTCATAGGCAGCTATGAGTAGGGCTCATAAGTAGGGTTCCTTTAAGGGTTCTAGAAGGTTTAGGGTTTAGGGGCAGCTATGAGTAGGGCTCATAAGTAGGGTTCCTCCAAGGGTTCTATGGTCATAAGTAGGGTTCCTTTAAGGATTCTAAAAGGTTTAGGAGCTATGAGTAGGGCGCATAAGTAGGGTTCCTTTAAGAGTTCTATATGGTTTAGGGTTTAGGGGTAGGTACGAGCAGGGCATATAAGCAGGGTTCCTTAAGGGATTCTATAAGGTTTAGGGTTTAGGGGCAGCTATGAGTAAGGCTTATAAGTAGGGTTCCTTTAAGGGCTCTATAAGGTTTAGGGTTTAGGGGTAGCTACGAGCAGGGCTTATAAGTAGGGTTCCTTAAGGGGTTCTATAAGGTTTAGGGTTTAGGGGTAGTTATAAGCAGGGCATAAAAGTAGGAGAACTATAGTTATACAAATTATAACACATATTCGAGCACCTGTAACCCCAACTGTACCTACCCATGCACCTCCCAGCCCAGACTGGGACCCCGGCAGCACTGCATGCTTCCGAAACCAGGGAACCTTCACAGAGGTTCAACCATCACCACCCAGCGGTTAGTTACGGTTAGTTGTGGATTCGCCCTCTCCTCTAGTGCTTCAACCGTCTGTAACACAAAGACCCAGAACTCTTAATCCTATAGAGTTTTGCAGATACGAGCCCGACGTCGCTGAAAGAATGTAGTGCGATGATGCGGGCTCCCTGTTGCGTTGAATGCGGATGATCTCAGGACCTGGGGTGTGGTATTTTTCGAGTACAATACTAGCCATGAAGGGACTATGGGCGTGGGACCATTTCAGTGTCCTAACCATTCAGGCCCCTAGTTTGGATAACGACACGACTTCACACGAATCTGCAACAGCCCCAAAAAAGTGGGATATATTCTGAGGTGAGGCCCAATCCGGCCCTTTACCGGTTCTTGATGGGCTATAAACCCTAAACCCTAAAAACTAAAACCTAAACCCTAAAAACTGAACCCTAAACCCTAAACCCTAAACCCTAAAAACTACACCCTAAACCCTAAACCCTAAACCCTAAACCCTAAACCATATAAGGAAATCTTCAAGTTTGTGGTGTAAAGCCAACTGCCAAGCTTCAAGGAGAGGGGCCCAGTCCGACCATACAAGCCAAAACGAGAACTCGGAAGACCACATTTTTGGAATATATATATATATATGTGTGTAGATATATATATATA